TTTTTTTTTTTTACACATGTTCGGCACGTGTATTGTTTATTTACGAAATGGTATTCGATGATTACGTAATTAAATTGTTTAAAATACTTTTCGTCAATCATTTTCTAAATCTAAAGTTTAAATTTTTAAACTTTTTTTTTCAAATGAAATTAATGAGATTTGAGGGGAATTATTTAAATTTATATTCAAATTTTCGCAATATTTTTAAAATTTATAAGCTGGCAACATGACTTTTTTATTTCGATTTTCGTAGTTACGTATTCAGGGTTATTTAAAACAATGTTTTTCGCGGATAAATGATCTAATTCTAACAATTTCCAAAAATAATGTAACAAAGTTTAAAGTCTACGGAATTATTTAATTGTTCATTCAACTCCGTAAACGAGCAGTTATCATCTTTAATCTTGACAGATTAAAAAACAACAAATCTTCCAGTTATATTTTTAGATACAGAAACGCCATCGGTTATTTACGAAATTTTTAACGATTTCACGATCGAAGACTTCGAATCTGTCGAAAGCCGATTGTGACGAAATCTTAAATACCGTGACGTCATAAAGCGAAAACGTCGGTTCACGCGGTTTCGGTCCAATGTATTGTTCTAATTATATTTAAATTTAAAACCGAGAACGCGATTGGATGATTTCAATGTAAATTTATTCAACCGCAGAGCAATTTCGACATTAAAATAGCGTCTTAACTTCGTCTCCGATGAAATATTTCGTAATACACCAATTATAAAATATCTACAAATAAGTGTGGTTTGAAAACAGGAAGTGACGTCAGTACTATCTTCCGATTTTCAAAAACCAAACTAACAGCCAACAGGTGGCGCTTATTTAAACCTTAATCTTTGAAAACAAAAATCTCCACGGCGCCATCTATTAACGTATACGCGAACTAAGTAGGTTAAATACAGATGAGTTATCTATTTTTACAATATCCGCCGTTTGGAACAAATAAACACGTCTGGACGGATGTTGGGCAGGATTAAAAATATATTTTCCGGTTTGACGCACAAACGATTGTGGAAGGCAAAGATAATCGGTCCTCTTGCATCCTTCAATGGATTTCCATCTTAGTTCCCTGTAACTCGTCGAGATGCACACTACTGGAGATGAATGTGGGGCTGTAAGTAGTGTTTCCTCTTGCTTTATGTGTAGCTTTAATGTGTAAATAAAACTAAATTTGTTTGTACAGTATAATCTGAACTGTGTGTGATAAGTCAAAACGTTAGTTAACATTATGTCTGTGGTAGTTATTTATGTAAGTTAGATTTGTATGTATTTAAAATTAAACTAATCCAAATAATCGTTTGCCAAAACAGATGACTGTGGGAGGCTCTCGGGATGCAAAGAGCAGAGAGATCGCGGTGGATCTGTCACGGGATGAGAGCAACGGCGGTCCTCTTACGGGAAGGCAGGTGGTCAGGGTTTACGAGAGGCGCCCCTGCTCCTGCCTGCAGGAGGGCACGGAGTGCAAGTGCGGTACGGGTTCCAAGTCCAAGCTGAGCGTGCGGCTTGAGCCGTGGGCCGGATACAAGACGTTTCTCATGAGCAGCCTTCTGGTGGTGATGGTGGTCTGGGTGGTGATCTTTGTGACTCTGATGTGGAGAAGCTCCTTCTGATGCCAATGCACAATGGTGTATTGGCTTTTGGAATGTGAGAGTCTCTTTTTTTTTTTATCTTGATTTTTACAAATCCTTTTATGTAGAAAAGAAATTTAAAATATGAAAATCAAATTGTTAAGTTTCCAGTAATTGCATTACTTTATTATTTTTTTAATAGCTGTATATTACAGTGTATTACAGTTTAAAAACTAGTTGTGCAACACAGCATTATACAAACAATATTTTTAATATTTTTTTTACCATTTTTGAATTTTGTAAACTGACAATTATCCAAAAAATTAACAATTCCAATTCGCTAAGTTTTAAAAATGACAAGACATAAGTAATGCTACAATAAAATCTGTTTGAATGCCAAGAGATTAATTACACATTTTCTCTGGAGTTCAAGATGTGCAATCACAAAAAAAATTTCAATGGATCTTTTTTTCCTGTCTTTTTTTTCTTTTATATATTTATATATATAATCCTCCAAGTGGCGCGATACAGATGATATATAATAATTAAAAAAAATGTATACACCATCCCATACAAGGAAACATTCGGCTACTTGAAACTTTATTAGTTCACACTGAAAGAGAAACTATACATCAGGTAAATCTGTTCAATTTATTTGCTTAGATCCCCCCTTCCACAATACAACTTGTAAAAGAAAACAAAGTTAAGTGTAAAAATTTGGTTACTGTCAAAACACTGATGATAGAATGACCTTTACATATTTACTTATATATATATTTTGGTTTATATATATAATCTGTGATGTATTGAATTCAATATCAATTAAGACGACATGCGCTTCTCCTCAGCTGCTTCAAGTCGCGGCCCCATGCACGGTACTTTTACCTATAGTTTTTTTTTGTTTGTTTTTTCCACTTGTTTCATAGCCCACGAGACAAGGGCATATGGGGTAGACATCACGAATCCTTCCCGACGGAGACTGCTTGGTTGTCAACGTTATACTTACAGCATCTTGGTCTTATTTTGCCTCTGTTCCAGCAGAGGGTTTTTTAAAACATTGTAAGCTAGGAAGGATTTGGATTCACCCGCTGTTTCGATTTCTGTATTTTTTATTTCACTTTAGATCGAGCGGGATGGAATTCTTTGGCTTGTTGGAATCCGTTTTTCTCAAGATGTCTCCACCTTGCAGTCTCTATAAATACAATAAAAAAATACATACGGAAAAGTGAGCATGTTATAGTTTCATATGGGATGTGAGGAGTTGTTTAAAGCTGCTTTACGATCTTGTTGATCTACAACAACAGTTCAAAATTAATTTAACATTGAATAATACCCCTCACAAATATAATGTAAAGAAATTAGAGCTTAGATGAGTTAGGATACCAGGCGTAACGATTTTTCCTGCACTGTAAATGCCCAGAAAATTTAAATCGTTCACTTTATATCTCCAACTCATACTAACATCATTTCCTGGAGCAGCATCTAAAACATAAGTACATATATAAAATCTTATTCATACAAATTCAGTTTGAGTTAAGCCCGCAATTCTGTCCGTCACAAAATCAGGAGCCATAACAAACACATTCAAAAAGGGAGGAATACAAACAGATACAACTGTCCTCATTGGATAATTATATTTTTAATAGCATATTATAGCAGGCTTTACTCATACAAAATATGATGTTTTAAAATTTAATATAAAAGAATAGAAGGATAATGATAAATTTTGATACTTATATCTTCCACAATTACATGAAATGTTGCAATAAATTCCATTTTGGAGGAGTTAATTAATTTATAAACTCACTTACCTTTCTGTCTGAAATTACACTCGAAACCGACTGATGATTATGGATATTTGAATTACTGTTCTGTTAACAGAAAGGAAAAGAAATAAAAAAAAACAAAAAAAACAAGAATTGGTAAAAAAAACGAACATTTATTTAATTGTACAAAAATTACAAAATCACAGTTATACTTCATTTTGCTCTACACTGATGTTAGAGGACCGACTTGTATCATCAAATTCTGTTAGCGTTCTTTCTGGAGGTGGATTGCACTCTGATGTAGTAATTGATACATCCATTGTACTCATCTAGATAACGTAAATCACAATAATTATTTTCTATTTATTTTAAATTAAATTTTTGTTATAGACTCGTTTTGTACCTGTGAGTCATTAGTTGTATCTTCAGAGTCCTCATTTGTCTTCTCTAAAAAAGGCAATCTTACATCAGACTGATTTGATGCAATTCCAAATGACGCAAAAGATGAAGGCGTGCTGGTTTCGCTACATCGCGATCGTTTCACTTCTATTTCACCATCACCAGAGTCTCTTCTTCTTTTATGAGGTGATGTAGAATCTTCCTAAAAAATTAAATAAATCAAAGTTAGAATCATAATATATAAAATATATACAAAATATTTTACAAAATTAGTTGAAATTACCTTATCATATTTGTTTCCGGGAAGTGATGCATTACTGTCCGAAGACATGATACTTGAATTCAAATTTGAATTTGTTTTTCTATCTGAATAAGTAGGTGTTGTGCCAGGACTACTTTGAGGGGTTGAATTTGGCGTGGCACTCTAAATTAAAATAATAATTTGATTAATTAATAATGCATTCATATTTGATTAATCAACCATGCATAAAATAATGAATTAATTTCATTTATAAAATCAATGTCTTACTGATCTCTCCTTTTTCTTATGCATGTTTAAAATACTTGGTGGCAAATATTTACTCAATTCTTTCCTTCTTACATGTTTTGCTTCAATTCTCATACCAGTTTTAAAGGTAAAGTTGGTCAAAGCTTGATGAGTTACTATGTAAGAAAAAGAAAAACCTGTCAGTAATATTCATGTTTTTAAAATATTTTTATTAATTAATAATTCTAATTTGCTAACTTTTAGAAACTGATGAAACAAATACTGCTATAATAAAATCTAAATGCTCTCAAGAAATTAATTACAAACTGTCCCATAAAAATCCAACTTAATTTTTCAAACCAATATTCCTAGTTTGTACACTTTATATCCTTCATAATTTTTGAAGTGTTCATTTTTTACAGAAAATGTACTGTATGTTTATAATACTGTTGCTTATTAGTTTTAAAAATCCAAATGTTTATGTTATTGTCAAATTCAACTTACCGGTATTAGTGAACAACTGAATATCCGAAGTGAGATCAATGTTAACACTCTCAACAGTTTTAAACTTCAAACCAATAAACCACATGGATTGGATTTCATTTCTATTAATTATAACATTAGACAATTAGTATGTTATTTTTAACAAATAAATAAATGAATGCGCAAAAAAAATTTAAATAATGACTTACGGATCTTGTTCTATTGGAGTAAAAGACTCTGGATTTACGTGAGCTAATTCTATACAGGAATGACGTTCAAGATTTCCTATTAGTAATCTGATTTTAGACTCAATTAAACCATACCTGTAAAATTTAATGGAGATTTATTATTACAAATTTCTTAAATAAATAAAACTATCAACTTAAAAAAACAAACAAAGAAGAAATTTTAACTCACCATTCCAAATGATGCTCTTTAGAAGATGCTGTTACAATTAAAACAATAAAATGCCTGGAAAAAATTTATTTTATAAAGTTAATAACACATAAAGGAATGAAACTAGAAGTCCAGCCAAAACTTCCTACTACTAAAAATGTCTACTTACTTATATTTTCCAAAAAAATTAGGTGGTTCGAATAATTTACTCCAATCTGCTTTTCCCAATATGATATCATCAGAGATTGCTAATCCCGTTCTATAAGCTTCACTCATGACCATTCTAGTAGATAAAGACACATTAAAGGTAGAATTCTGATGGGGATAGGCTGGTGTTATTATAGGCATAAGATGAAACCTATCCGAAACATTTACCTAGGAAAAAACAATTTTTATTTTTATAATTAATTTATTACAGGTAGAAACTAAAAAGTTATCTAATAAGCTGTAAAACTACTTACTCTTGGATCCCAAACAGAAAATCCTAACTTAGCTTCTTCGGGTTGTTTTAAAAGAACGGGTTTTGGCCAAGGCCTGAAATTTTAAAAAATTTTAATTTAATTTTTGTAAATATTAAATATTTATCACTAATTTCACATTTTGGTTATAAAAACTATATAAATTATACTTACCATTGAGAAAAAACAAGAAAAAATTTATTAACTAATGTAGCTGCTACTGCATTTGGATATAACTGGCAAGTTCTTGCTACCAGCATTGCCCATGAAACACCTCCCAAATATCCTAGGACATTGGAATATACACCATGTTCTAAATAGAGAAGAAAAAATGGATCAGAAGTTAGAATATTTTGATAGAAAATTTTTGATTACTTTTTAAATATGAAAAAAACTTACTTTTGGCCCAAAGTTTAATGGCTCTCAATGCTAATTTAAAATTTTCTTTATTTGGTACCAAATGAAGAATTTCATCTGTCACTCTACATCCTATACAAAACAAATTAAATTTCTTTAAGTTATTACATAAAGTTTTGTGATTTTATTGAAAAATTATAGCAAATCTTCTTTAAAGTTACTATCTTAACAATATCCTAACACAGTAAAATTAATCTTACATTTTACTAAATAATATCATAAAAATTTTTATTTTTTTTTATAGAAAATTATATTCTGTTATATAATTTTTTTATCTGGAATTTTCCATGACAGCGTATTGGCAATTATATGTGCATGTGGTAAATATACAGATATATATAAAGTAACTATAATACTTTAATACCCTTCCATATTCCGAAACTGTGTTGTATCTTTATATCTGTTTAAAAACTGCAATGTAGCACAGTAATCAACACATGGCATAACTCATTCATTTATTCCAGCTTTTGTTGAACAAAAGCTGGAATAAATGAATGAGTTATGCCATGTGTTGATTACTGTGCTACATTGCAGTTTTTAAACAGACAACTTTAATACCCATAAAATTGCAATGCATAAATACATGCAGTTTTTCAAATGTTACAATATTTTTGTTATAACATCAAGAAAATGATCCTTATATGTTAACATACTTATTAATTTTTATTTGTTATAATAAAAGCATAACAATTCTTTTTAATGAAATAGATTATTTATTTAAAATCCAAAATCACAATGAGTAATTATTTATTGTGACATCATCACAATACTAAGCTGCAATTTTTAATCCTATTTTTGATTTATTTAAAATATTGGCTTGATTTTAATAGTGTCTTGCCCCTGTACATCATAGTTTTTCTGTTAACAATAAAGTCATGCCAGTCATCTATCTAACTCTGTTTAACAGAAAATTCTTGAAATGAAATAACTCGACTTCCAGTCCAAACCAGAAGTTCATACATAGTTAATTGGGGCCACCTTCCTCTAAACTTTCTATATCAGGTCTAGACTTTTGTCTATCTAACATTGTTCTTGAGATTAAGTAAGGAAGGACAGACAGAAGACAACAGTGAAAATTTATAGGTATACAGGGGAAAAATAGCCCAAAGTGCATATTCTTTGTATATAATTTAAAAGTTGTACAAAATAAAGTCTATCTTTTTCACCAAATGTGTTCCTGTATGATAAGTTCTATACAGTAGTTTTGTGCTTTTTTTTTCTCAAAGAACATAGAAAGAACAAGATGCAAGCAAGTATTATAGGTCTACAATCTTTTTCAAATTGCAACCCAATAATAATTACATGTATGTTATTATTTGACTATTTTGAGACACGAACTACACAGGAAATTGCTATCATTTATGATTATCATAATTGAACTTATATTAATCAATAAAAAGATGAAAACCATTAACTGTATGAAATAATTTCTAAATGTAATTAAATTTTTAAAGCCAAAAAATGCTTAGATAAATTTTATAAAATTAGCATACCATTTAAACTACGAACACATTTTGGATCTAAGTTTTTCAGAAGATTTACATCTCTTAATTCTTGTTCTTCAGATATATCTTTCAGTGCTAACCTTGCAAATAGCATATCCAACTGTAAAAATTTTTAAAAATATTTTATGAATAATTAAATAAATGTATTTTGTTTTCAAAACGAAATCATAAATATTTAAAGTACTATTTTTTCAATGTACATAAAGCTTTTATAAGAAATAGTTTTAAATAAAAAACATTTTTTTATTCAATATATAGCCATTACTTAGTTCTGAACTATTAGTAACTATTAATAATAAAAATTCTATATTAAATAATTTTATTCAACAAGTTATTTAATGTTTTAAATTTATATCAATATAATAGCTTTGATATACTTACTTCAATACCATCAAAGGTCATTTTGATTACTGGTACAAATGCATCTTCTACTGACTAAAAGTAAAGTTTTTATATAGATTAATAATTAAATTATAAAAGAAGACTAAATAAAATTACATAAGTTAACTTTAGTATAATTTAAAATAAATACACATATATTTTATAAACTTACTCTAAGGTCTTTTACTTCTGGCTGCTGTTTCAAAAGATCAACAAAACTACCAAAAAAGTCTGACCTATCAATATGCCTTGGCGCAATACATAGTGTGTCAATATCCGCACCTACAGAAAATGAACAAAACATTATATTTTTTCTCACATACATAAAGTATTTGTCAAAATTTTAAACTAAAGAAAGTTAATATCTATTACCTTTAGTATGAACTCCTAATCTGTAAGAACCAAAAGTACATATTTTTCCTCCGACCCTTTCAGCAACACTTGGTGGCATATTCTAAATTAACAAAAGTATGTTGTCAATTGTAATCATAAGTGATTTAAAATTTCAAATTGCAAGAAATGGTCTTTAAAAAAATCTTATCTTCAATATATTCTCTCTTACCTTTTTTATGCTTATGTCTTTGATCCACTGTTTAAACAATTCATTAATTTTGCTGAGAACTTCCATTCTATAAAGCAGATAAACAAATAGGTAAATGACATTATTTAAATTTCATATTAAAATTTTTTAAAATTCATATTAAATTTGAAATCTTACCTATGATCTAACTCCATATCAGATTCAAATAAGCCATACTGTTTTAGCGATTCTTCAAGTTCTTTAGTTCTCTGTATGTCAATTGGCTTTGGTCCTGCTGTACTGATGGGTGATGTAACTCCACATGTTTTTGTGCTACTGCAGCTACTACTACTACTACTGCTGCTGCTGCTGCTGGTGGTGGTGGTGCTGCTGCTGCAACTTCCACCACTACTAATACCACTGCTACTACTGCTACTGGATGTAGAATTTTTTGTTGAACTAGCATTATTATTTTCTTGATGGCGATTATTACTATTATTCTGCAAGTGTTGCAAGCTTTGACCAATTGCTGAATTGTTGGACCACTGACTGTAATTGAAAAAGTATTATATAGTAAAAATTAAAGGAAACTAGTATTCTGAAAAGAATATAATGCTATTACATTTAGAAATATACTACTGTATTCTACTACTATGACCAATGCCAAGAATTTGACATTTACTTCACATTTGGCTTAATGTAGATAAGTAAAATAGACTTTTAGCTTAATTTACAATATAATTATAATAGAAAACAAATTAAATTGTTCTAATACTTTATAAGTTGAATACTTTTTGAGTTAAACATGGTAATATTGCCTCTCTTTCTAACACTTACTATGCCAATTTGATGTTTGTAAATTGTAAAATATCTTCTGAAAGTTTTGAATGTGAATTGAATGGTTAATTATACAAAAAAAATTGTAAAAGCATATAAATTTATTTTGTTGTACTAGCAACATATTTTTTAATAGAAAAATGGGAATAAATGCTCAAGGACTAAAATTTTATCATTGTGTATTCTTTCATAACAGGAAATAGCAACAAAAAAAGATGAAGAAATATAAGATTTATGGAATTAAAGAAACACTAATTGAATAATATGCATTTAGCCTATTGGCTCAACTTGTACAATAACAATTGAATAATAAAATTTAAATATCAAAATTAAAATTATCATCTTAATTGTATCCAGGAGAATATTGTACTAGTTCTATTATTACTTTTCTCATTTTGAAAAACTGAAACTGACAAAAGTATTCTTTTGAATGCAAAATCAAAACACATAAATTACTATTGTTGTAATGTAATACAGTAAAATAATCTAAACTGTTTAAAAGTTGAAAGTGAGAATATTTAAATACAATGATACAAATGTGTGTGTATAATGATGTATATTATACACACATATTCTTATCATTGTAGTTAATAAGAGCACAAGAGTCAAACTACTTATATGGCATAACAGATAACTTCTCCATCAAAGTATTCAGATAATGTGTTGAGCATCAATAACTACCAAAAACATTTTAATTTTGAAAGAAAAGAGTTTTGGAGTTTCACAACTTGTGCTTAAATTATATATTTTTACATCTTGGACACTCTAACTCAAAAACTATTTGCTTTTTGACTTTATGTCTATGGAGATTTTTAGAGCACAATCACTCAACTACAAAATATCAAGGATTCACCATATCCACTAGGAATCATTTCCTGTAAGATCCTTTCTATTGAAACAAAACTGGTTTACAGTTGAACTTATAAGTTCAATGGCTGTACTCGTACATTGATTTCAGAATATTAAAATCAATACTCATATAGATAAAGGAAATTTTACAAAAATTTAATGTATAAATTATGGTAATAGCAGAATTGTTTTTAAATCACATTTAAATTTTTAACTCTCTCATTATTTTATTTCTTTAAATATTTAAAAATACACTTAGAAAACAGAAATAATCCAGATATATTTAAATTTATGTTTAATCTTACGCAATCTATGACATTATAAAAATTCCCATACTGAAGATTAATAATAATTTATTTATCTAACAAAAATATAAATGATAACAGTGAAAGATAGAGGATAAATTTGGCTGTTGATTTTTCTTAAGTCAAAACTCTTGNATCAATGTACGATAAATACTTTTATTATTACAAACAATTATGACTTCAGGGCTAATACTGTAAATGATAAAGAGCTTCAGACTTTTAAACTGTGTTATGTTTACTCTGGAATATATATCAGTAACACTACTTTATACAGTGATAAATAATTTTATTTACAGAAACACTTGGTTTTACAATTCACAACTTGTTTATGTGGAAATTTACTGTCAACACAACTTGGTTATTTTTTTCCTTCCTAAAATAAGTACAGCTATAATCAACCCATGCTTGTCAGCAATTACAAAATCTGAATCGAGGTTAAAATATACTGCAATGTAGAAATGTTGTAATCTTAATTACATTGAGGTTTCTATTTATTAGCATTTGACAGAATAAAAAATGTAAGAGAAATTACAAGGCTTACTGGTAAAGATCAGAAATTTAAACTAAAATTATAGGCAAAGAATTAAATAAACAGATAACAAATTAACTAAATGACTATTAATTAATTACACATTCTAAAATCCTTTACATATAAGAATTTGCTTCCTAATAGCTAAAAATTATCAGCTTCAATTTTTTGCTCATAGAATGACACATGCTTCTGTCAGATTTACTGATTTATGTAAGACAGACAGTTACTCAACAGATGACAAGTTATGTAGAATAGAGAAGAAAAACAAGCCAAATCGACTTCATATTAATTACTAATTAGTATAATTTAAATAAGCTGACAAGTTTTTTAGTAACAGGTAATTACTTTAATAGCTTTCCATACAATTAAACAAATTAATAATGCAATAAAAGACTTAAAAAATTTGTGTTTATTAAAATATTTCTAATTTATCTTTAAATGAGGTTGATCAATTTATTATAAAGTCTTTCAAGATTTTAAATCAAATTCAAAACAAAGTGTTTGTTATATCAGCATTTAATGATGGGAAAAAACCACACTGCCAATCTAATATTATGTTAAGACATTCTTAGCAATTCCAGATTTTTGAGTATGAATGTTCATGTTTTATGAATTTTAATGTGAATTTTTTTGAGTAAATATCCTGTAATCTTTATTATTTATGGTAATGCATGTTAATTGAAATTAAAAGAGCAGTTTCTATATAATACATATGAAACAAAATGAGGTTTGTTCAGCACTATAGAAAATATAATAATTACCTAGTACAGTACATGTATTGATTAATAAATAATTGTTAAATATATTAAGCTTTATATCTATGATTATTATGAAAAATGTTTAAATTCCTTTTAGGCATTTTTATACCTACACCATTTATATTCAAATGATGGTCTGACTTCCTATGTAAACAACTGCACCAAATCATGATTTAAATCAGGTATTCCCCAACTTTTTTGTCTGTCAACCCATTCACGGATTCCTTGATCTTTTATCAATTCCTCTCTTCTTTTAATGCCAACATCATCAATAATAATAATAATAATAATATAATTAATAAATCTATCGAAAGTTTACGACAACTTGAACTGTGATATACATAACTCAGTGGACTAAAAAATTTTAATAAACCATTTTCAATTGGCCCATATTGATTTTCAACCTCAAAATTTCTTAATGATCACTTTGGGATTCCTGATTTAAATTATTTAATATATTCATGATAAAAAACTAAACTATATTTTAAGCTATTAGCACTCAGAAAAAAAATAATTTTGCAACTTATTGAATAAATCTATCATTTATACTAAATATTAAATATTTTACCAGAATTATTATAAAAAAAAAATTAAAGATCAAACAAATTAACAGTCCGTAATTCTGCAAAATGCCAATTTCTTGTGGCATCAAAATGTTGTGAGAAACGGAATTATTTGACAAAATCTATTTGCTCAATCATCAACTGGATAGGATAGAAAACCAGATAAAAAGTATTAAATCAAACCAATTTAATGTTCCAGCTGCATTAGATTATATTTGTTAATACATCTCAAAGAGACGGTTTGTGGACCTGTGCCAATGTGTAACAATTTTCATAAAAATCTTTTGTATTGTATATATAAGCATGTTCTATGTCACTCCATAAAGATTTTATTTTTAAAATTTATTATTGACATTATTCATCCCTGCTATACATAAACAAGCTATTTACAACAACTTATAAAATTTTTAAATTTACATAGTTATATTTGATAATTTAACCAATTTCATATACATACATGTTCAATTTCTCCCTTTCCAACATTTAATTTTGAAAACAACAACATTGCCAATATAAATAGCTATATAATACAAGATATCATTATATCTTTTATTTATATAAATCATTATATCATAAATCAAAATAACAACACTCATGTAGAAAACTTATAATCCTACCAATTTAAATGGCATTTATAACTAAGAAAACTATTCTATAAATACACTTTGTAATGTAAGAAACAAATTAGTCCATTCAAAAAACTTTTTTGCACTAGAAGAAAAGGTTTGGCATTCTTACAATATATAAAAGTAGATCCATTTGTTAATTCAGAATTCTATATTGTAGACAATATGATGGCAACAACCATTTGCATGTGTCATTGAGCTTGATATTTTACAAGGGATGAAACGTGTTACACTAAAAACTCTCATTTACAAAATTAAATGTGTCTAATTTCTTTCAATAAAAATTTTTCTCTCTCATTCACTTTAGATCTACATTAGAATTTATATTATTATTTTTTATCATAATTATCTGGGTAAAATATTATTAGTCCCAAACAATAGATAATACTGCACTAAAATATAAAATATAGAATCTAGTTTATTTTGCATTGTATAATAAAATTAATAAGGGTGATAATTTAATTTCATTCTCTTAAATTATTCTAATTTTTCTCCTTCCCACTGTGAATGAACTTCATACACTAAAAAAAGTACATGAATTGTCCAATATTAAAATGAGGTAGGAATAAAGGGATTAAAAATGGCACAGATTTAGCACTCAATTAAAAATTTTTATTTTATGCATTTGCCATTTATTTTTCTGGATTACCAATAGTGTAAATCTGAAACAGCATGTGGCAAGTCTACACATGGTGTGTCCTATTTTAATTATATAAATTTTCAAAAATAATAGTGCTAAAATACTATACAGAGTAAAGAATCATTATTATTATTAACTTCATCACAGGACCTATCAGTTTTTGTTTTTTCAGGACAAAAAATTAATTGTTAATTTTTTTAAAATATAAATATAGTAATAATAATTATACGAGTAGTAAGATAATTACTACAATTTTAACACATTAATTTGAAACAGGAACACAATAACAACATATCTTGAATGTATATGAATTCGTTTATAATAATAATAATAATTACACTAATGACTTGGTTAATTATAGAAAGACTATGAGCAAATCTTTTCCCTTATCATTAACTGAATTGTAAACAAAATTACAAGTTTTTAAGATTTATTTTTA